CAGTTTGTGAAATCTCTATCTGATTACAGTTCGTGAAATCTCTGTTTGATTACAGTTCGTGAAATCTCTGTCTGTATGAACAGTAAATGTTGAGGATTTTTCTGCTTAGAGTTAGTGAATTGCAGGCACTGTTTTTAGAGTAATACCTGTCTGGCTGTCCCTGTAAATATGGTTTTGAAATGAAGCTGTTTGCCTGTTTTCACAAGTAGTAGACTTAAACCTATATCTACAAACAAGATGCTAATCTCGATTTCATTTCTATATGCGTTCCATTTAGTATTCAGTGAGAAAGTATATAAATGTGTTATGCATATGCTACAAAATTGGAGCCATGGTTCAAATTTAGAATTCTTTAAGCAGCTAAAATGACGCTTAAAAAAAAAGAAAAAAAAAATGATAAGAATGGGATTGCTTAATAGATAGATAGAGACATTCAATAGTTGTCTCGCTGTCTGTATTAAACCCACGTTGTTACAAGAAGTGCCATTGTTTAGGCAGAGCTGGGCATTTGTATTAGACTTTGCCTAGTTTTCAGTTTTCACCAAACACATCCAGTTTTTCTGTTTGACTGCTATATGAAACTTATTGATATATTTGATATGAAGCTTATCAATATGTGGTTGAATATAATTAGCGTCTACATTCGTCTATTGTGAATTCAACCTGAATTTAGAGAGACATAAAAAGAAAAGAAAAAGAATAAACGATTACTGTTGGTTTGTGGCAACAATAGCTAGGTCCGATGTTACCAGAATTTCAAGTGATCACTATATATATTATGTATAAACAATGTATATATATCTCATATCAAGAGCATTTAATTGATATTAGTGTTTTGGTGGTGGTAGTGATTGGAATAGCTAGGCATGGAGGAATTATTTCCAATGTCTTATATAATTTTTAGAACTAAATTGTTTACTGAATAAAACACAAAGAGATCACTTCATAATGAATTATTGAAGGGACGTTTATTTGCTGAAAAAGGAATTATTTCCATTATCAATTAATATATAGTTAATCATCAATTAAAAAGCTCTTTGGCATTTCCCCCAAATCATGCTCCATTATCACTTAACATATAGTTAATCATCAATTAAAAAGCTCTTTGGCATTTCCCTGAAATCATGCTCCATTATCAAAGTTCAGCAAATAGAAACATATATATAGACACGCATGTAGTAGTTACTAACTTGAATAGATTTTTGCATAGAGAAACATATATTCTCTCTTTCTTTTCCCAATCATTTTTGCATAGATTTAGATTAATATAAATACTTGATAATTGAATCGGTTGTTGAAACAAGTGTTAACTATTGATAATGCATGCTGATATAAATGTTAGTTTATATTAATTTTATTCTGGTTATGGTGTCCTTGATGTTTGTTTCTTTATTTTATTGTATTATCCTTTGAGTGTGTGTGAGAGACCTAATATATATATATATGTATTTTTTTTTTTTGTAGTCTCAAGCATTGACATAGCGGATTTTGAAACTATAGATACAGATATGGTTAACGTGAGAGCAAGTGACGATGCTTCTAGGGTAATGTCACCTCCTTCTAATTCTAGTATTCCTACAATTAGTTTTAGAAATAAACGTAAAACATCAGAAGTTTGGAATTATTTTGAGACATATATTGATGAGAATAAGAATGAGAGGATTAGGTGTAAGACATGCAATAAATCTTATGCATATGGTAGTGTCACACATGGGACTAAAAATTTGAAGCTTCATATGGGAAATTGTCCAAAACGTGCCAACCATGATGTAGGGCAGTTATTGATTGATCATGATCATAGGTTGCAAAGTAGAAAGATTAGTCAAGAGACTTGTCGTGAATATATGGCCTTATCAATTATTCAACATAACTATCCATATTCATATGTGGAGAATCAAGGAACTAGGAGAGTCTTTTTGTATGTGTGTAAGGAGCTTATGCATTATTCTAGGAACACCGCTAAGGTGGATTACTTAAAAATATATGAAAGGATGAAGAAAAAAACCAAGCTTGAATTAGGGAGGCTTACTAGTAGAATATGCTTAACTTCTGATGTTTGGACTTCTGGTACAACTGAGGGATATATTTCTTTGACAACTCATTATATAGATGAGGATTGGGAACTACAAAGTAAAATACTGAATTTTTGCCATATTCCTCCTCCACACTCAGGGGTTGTTTTGGCAGATAATATTATGAATTTCTTGTAAGAGTGGGGAATTGAAAAGAAAGTTTTCTTAATTACTTTGGATAATGTAAGTAGTAATGATAGGATGGAGGATATCTTGAGGAACCAGCTTTGTGTGCAGAATGCTTTGTTATGTAGAGGTGAATTTTTTCATGTGCGATGTTCTGCACATATCTTGAATCTTATTGTTCAAGAAGGGTTAAAAGCTACTAGTGTCGCTTTAAATAAGATTCGAGATAGTGTGAAATATAAGCAAATGAGGCTAGAAGAATCAAGTTTGGAGAACTTGCTATACAAATGGGAGTGAAAAGCTCAATGGGGTTGAGATTTGATGTTTCCACTAGATGGAATTCGACATTTTTAATGCTTGAAACGGCGTTAATATTTCTTCTTGTGTTTGTGGCTTTATCAACAATAGATCTTAGTTATAAATTTTGTCCATCATATGATTAATGGGATAGGGGGTGAGGATATGCAAGTTCTTGGAACCATTTTATGATATTACGACTTTATTCTCGGGTTCTAAATATCCTACAGCAAACTTGTACCTGAAATGTGTGTGGGAAATTCAATTACGTTTAATTAAAGAGAGGATGAGTGAGGATGAAGTTGTTAGGAGCATGGCGGAACAAATGATCCCAAAATTTACAAAATATTGGGATTCTTATAGTTTTGTGTTGACGATTGCAACTATTCTTGACTCACGTCTCAAGTTTCAGTTTGTGGAGTATGCTTTCAACAAAGTTTATGATTCAACCACTGCCACACGGAAGTTGGAGGTTGTTAAGAATAACTTGCAAAATCTTTTTCAAGCTGATGAGGCTAAATGTTCTAAAGAAGTTCCTGCCTCACCTTCAGTTGTTTCTCCTGCGAGCAATTCTACTTCTAGTAGGCGTGTACATCATTCTTCTGTAAGTCACTATACTTTTTAGTTTTTATATTATTATGATAAATAAAGTATTGTTTATTGTTTAATTTTTACTTTTGACACTTAACTGTTTAAATGATGCAGGATTCTGACAACTATGAGAGTGTTTTCATTTCCACTAAGAAATCCGAATTAGATCTTTATTTGGAAGAGATGAGGTTTGATCGTGTCAAATATCAGAATTTGGATATCCTCGATCATTGGAAGAACAATCATGATCGTTATCCAGTACTTACCATGATGGCTCGTGATATCATGGAAATACCAATAACATCCGTTGCCTCGGAGTCCGCTTTTAGTAGTGGCAGTAAAGTGCTCAACAAATATCGAAGCTCACTTCGACCAAAAAATGCAGAATGTTTGATATGCACTTGAACTTGGCTATATGGATATGAGTTTACAGGTAACATGTTAACATAATATTTCATATATTTTATTATTTACATTTATTAATATTTATAGTTGATCATTGTTTTATAGATGATGAGGTGAATGATGATTCGGATGATGATCTTGATGTGCCATTAACTAATCTCGGGACTGTGGAATCAAGAGACTCTATCACCCCCACTGTGGGATGAACATTTGCTACCCTAAGAATGTTTTTTGTTGAATATTGGATTATGTATTTGTTTATTTTTGTTGGTATTTATAGTTTATTAACTTATTTTGTTTGTTTATGTGTGATTGTGTATTAGTGATTATGTATTTGTTTATTTTGGTTGGTATTTGTAGTTTTGTATTATATTTTATTGTTTGTTTATGTGTTATTTGCTTATTTTGGTTCCTATCTATTTATATTCTAAATTGAATTGAATTTAGAGTTGTTGATATAGGGGGTGTAAATCTAAAAAATTAAAACTGCAAGAATTTTGGGGGTGTAACTGTCATAATTGAAAACTATTAGAGGTGAAACTGTAAAAATTAAAACTTGGAGAGAGAAAAAACGGGTATCCGCAGGTCCACCCGTACCCGTATAGGGCAGGGTACGGGTCTAATATTTTAGACCCGTATAATTCGACCCGTATTGGACCTGTACCCGTTTGGCCCATACCCATGAAGACCCGACCCGTACACAGCCCACCCAGCCGTCTTGCCAGGTCTATTTGCAATCTAAACAGAAATACAAAGAATACAATGTTCTTAGACTATAAACTAAGAATCAAGGATTACCTCCAGCCATTGAAGTTGTATTTTGACTATTCTAAGCTCTCAAGACACTCTAATATTGATGGTGTATTTTGTTTTAGTTGAATACTTGAGCTTAGGGACCGAACCATTATATATAGCCAAGCTTCCATCAATCTCTTAATGACATTGCTTAATGGTTGCCATAAATCTCAATCAATGGTTAAACAAAAAACGTTTGAAAAACTGAAGCAATAAATGTGGACCATTAATATTTAAAACTGATTTATATTTAATGAAAATCAATTATCAACGTTACATGAGTAATGTAAGTTTTACATTCTCCCACTTGGTCCACATTTTTAACCATTTTTTCATTAAGAAACAAATACAAGAATCATGGCGACAAGTCCTCAAAAAAAAAAAAAAAAAAAAAACGAGTATTATCTTCCATGTATTACAATGCATTTGATTCTTCAAGTTTACTTTATATATGACAACCTTACTTAATGAATAAACCCAATGTTTATTCTTGGTCCTACAGATGAATTTTCTCAAATGAAATTAAGGTGCACATGAATATGAGAAAACATCACAGTAAATAAGAGTTTTATTGAAACATTGTATATAGAACTACATAGTGGAATTAAGTCCCATTTTTTCTACATGATCCTTGAATTTCAATGGTGGCATTCCTTTGGTCAAAGGATCAGCAATCATTATGTGCTCAATGACCACTTTCTTTTCCTTAATACGCTATCTTATGGCTAAGTACTTAATGTCAATGTGTTTACTTCGACTTCCACTTTTGTTGTTCTTAGCCATAAAGATAGCAGTTGAATTATCGCAGTATATTCTCAATGGTTTAGAAATAGAATCCATAATTTTAAGTCCAGCTATGAAACTCTTTAACCATACACCATGTGAAGTAGCCTCAAAACAAGAAACGAACTCAGCTTCCATAGTGGAAGTAGCAGTCAAGGACTGCTTGACACTTCTCCAAGATACAGCTCTACCAGCCATTATGAAAACATATCCTGATGTTGATTTGCGTGAATCAACACAACCAGCAAAGTCTGAATCTGAATAAGAGATTACTTCCATATTGTCCGTCTGTCTATTCATAAGCATGTAGTTTTTGGTTCCTTGAAGGTACCTCATCATTTTCTTTGCAGCTTTCCAATGGTCTATACCTGGATTACTTTGATATTGTCCCAACATTCCAACAACAAATGCAATGTCAGGCCTTGTACAGACCTGAGCATACATTAGGCTTTCGATAGTAGAAGCATATGGAATGTTGTGCATTTGTTCCCTTTCAAAATCGTTATTTGGGCATTGGTTCAAATTGAACTTATCACCCTTGACAACGGGAGCCACACTTGGTGAACAATCTTTCATCCGAAATCTCTCTAAAACCTTATCGATATAGGTTTCATGAGATAGATCCAAGATACCTCGTAATCTGTCTCTATGGATCTTGATGCCAATGACATAAGATGCCTCACCCATATCCTTCATATCAAAATTTTTAGAGAGGAATTGTTTTACCTCATGTAGCAAACCCTTATCATTGGTTACAAGCAAAACATCATCTACATATAAAATAAGAAAGGATATCTTACTCCCACTAACCTTCAGGTATATACATTGATCCATGGGGTTTTCAACAAAACCGAATGAAGTAATTACCCCATGGAATTTAAAATACCATTGGCGGCATGTTTGTTTTAGACTGTATATAGATTTCTTGAGCTTACAAACCAAGTGCTCACCATCACTAAAGGAAAATCCTTTAGGTTGTTTCATATAAACCTCCTCCTCTAGGTCTCCATTGAGAAATGTTGTTTTTACGTCCATTTGTTACAACTCAAGGTCAAAATGGGCTACTAATGCCAATATGATGCGTAAGGAATCTTTCTTAGATACAGGAGAAAAAGTCTATGTATAGTCAATTCCTTCCTTTTGAGTGAATCCCTTAGCAACAAGTCTCGCCTTGTATCTCTCTATGTTGCCTTATGAGTCTTTCTTTGTCTTAAAGACCCATTTACATCCAATGGCTTTTACACCATCAGGCAACTCAACAAGATCCCAAACTTCATTGCTCTTCATGGAACTCATATCTTTCTTCATGGCATTGTACCATAATTCTGACTCTTTGCAAATCATGGCATGTGAAAAAGACTCGGGATCACTCTTGGCTCCAATATTATAGTCAGATTCTTGTAAGTACACAACATAATCACTAGGAATGTTTGACCTTTTAGTTCTAGTGGATCTCCTTAATATTGTACCATTATCTTCATGAGAAGTTTGTGGTTCAACTGGATGTTCAGAAGGTTTTGGTAATTCCTGAACTACTTGATCCACTGCAACATTGTCAGCAGCTTGTGGAACTTCAATGATTGGTTGTTCAACATCGGTTTGTACTTGAGGGGTGCTGTGAACTATGACCAATCTATCACTTGAGGTGGAAGATCGAGAATCTGAATGATCATATTCAAGAGCATTGTTTCTGATTTGATTGTTCCCTCTAATCAAGTCATACTCAAGAAACTTGGTGTTTCTTGATTCCACAATCCTAGTGTTGTGAGATGGACAATAAAATTTGTACCCTTTAGACCTTTCAGCATATCCAATGAAATACCCACTAACAGTCCTTGGGTCTAACTTCTTCTCTTCTGGATTATAAATTCTCACCTCAGACGGGCATCCCCAAACGCGCATATGTCGCAAACTCGGTTTCCAACCTTTCAATAATTCAAATGGTGTCTTTGGGACAGCCTTAGTTGGAAGTCGGTTTAATATATACACAGTCGTCTTAAGTGCTTCAGTCCATAAGGACTTAAGAAGATTGGAGCTGTTAAGCATACTCCTCACCATGTCCAATAATGTTCGGTTTCTTCTTTCCGCCACACCATTTTGGTGAGGTGAACCAGGCATGGTATATTATGCAACTATCCCATGTTCTTGAAGAAACTTAGTGAATGGACCAGGTGCTTGTCCACTCTTAGTGTATCTACCATAATAGTTACCACCTCTATTTGATCTCACTATCTTAATTTTCTTTCCGCATTGTTTCTCTACTTCAGCCTTAAAGGTTTTAAACGTATCTAATGATTCGTTCTTGTTATGAAGTAAATAGAGATACATATATCATGAGTAATCATCAATAAAGGTGATGAAGCATCTTTGACCATGTGAGTCCATGTCTGGACTACATATATCAATATGTATGATTTCTAATATGTCTGAACTCCTATTGACACCTTTCTTAGACTTGTTGGTCTGCTTTCCCTTAACGCAGTCCACACATGTTTCAAAATCAGTGAAATCTAGAGTACTAAGTACACCATCATTCACTACTTTCTTAATTCTATCTATGGAGATATGTCATAATCTCTGATGCCATAACATAGAAGAGTCCTCGTTAATAATATACTGCTTAGACCCAGTGTGAACATGCATTGAATTATAAGTGATATTGTCTTGTAAATTAATACGATAAAGACCATCAGACAAAATACCATTCCTAACACAATCCGAATTATAAAATAAACTAAATGATATGTTTGAAAACTTAAAGAATAACCCAAAAGTACAAGTCTGGAAACTGAAATCAAGTTTCGTGAAAAACTTGGAACATAGAAGGTCCTATCTAATTCTAATACAAAACCATTACTTAAAGTTAAAACACATGTTCCTATAGCCTCCACATGTGAGCCCATCTTGTTTCCAAATAAGACGCTTTGCTCACTTCCTACTGGTTTCTGTAGATTTTGCATACCCTGCAAGGAGTTTGCAATATGGATTGTAGATCCAGAGTCAATCCACCAGGTGTTAATATTAACATTAACCATATTAGATTCATAACAAACAAACGAGGTTGGATTAACTTTATCCTGAAGCCATTTCTGAAATTTGGGGCATTCTTTCTTCATGTGTCCCTTCTTTTTATAGAAGAAACATTTGGCCTCTTTCTTGATATCAGCTTGGGGTGGTATTTTACCTTTCCCCTTTTGATTGGCTTGAGGTTTGCCTTTCCCGCGTGTTGTTGCCAACATTGCACTTTCACCAAGCTCCATCACAAGCCTCCCTTCTTCCTGAACACACATGGTCATTAATTCATTGATTGACCATTTGTCCTTATGTGTGTTGTACGAGATTTTGAATGGCATGTACTATTGTAGGAGGGTGTTTAGGATATATTGAACCATGAAGGATTCAGGCATCTCAACCTCGAGTTTCTTAAGTTGAGCCCCAATGTCCCTCATATTCATGATGTGCTCACGCACACCTTTCACACTGGTGAGTCTGATGGATGAAAATTTCATGATTAGCGTGCTTGCTAGTGCTTTATCTGAAGTGATGAATTGATCATCAATGTCTTTCAGCAAGTCCCAGACCTCTTCATGCTGATCAACAGAACCACGTATACCAACAGAAATTTTAGTCTTAATGAACATTACGCTGAGGCGATTAGATCGCTCCCATCGTTCATAAAGCGTGATGTTCGCTGGAGTGCTGGTATCAGTGATAGCTGGTGGTTTATCTTTCCTAATAGCATAGTCAATATCCGTCCATCCTAAATGGAGGAGAATTCTCTCCTTCCATACCTTATAGTTATCACTTTTCAATTCAGGGATATCGCAACGAATATCAGAGAAATTAGCAGGCTGTGAAGCTGCATTAAAATTGCTTATGTCAAAATTTGAGGTCTAATAATTTTCATGTTTTACCAATGCAAAACATGTAAGAATTGAATCTAATGACATAAAATTTGCCTGTCGGCTTAAATTTTAATTCAAGTAGATTCATATATAGCTTATGATAGAATCATCAAATTACATTCTTAATTCATAATTGTGGGTATATTATGAAAGTAATTTGATATTCTATCTTAATCTTTATGATAAAACTATCAAATTATGTTCCTTCTCCTAATTCTTGTGGGTAAATCAAGAAATATAATTTGATATTCTATCCTAATTAATTATATAAATATAACAAAATATCCTATGGGATAAAATTTATTATATTAAGTATAATTAATTACAGTTAGTGTCTATAATTCTTGATGTGATCCTAACTAATCATAATATATAATTTTATTTAACTAAAGATGTTGTGGTTAATCCCTAATTAATTAAAATTATATGGATCACAAGACATTATAAATTTAAGTTTTATGAGAATATTTATCCAGCATAAGAAAATTCAATATAAGAATAAATTGCATAATTCAATCTATAACTAACATGTAATTATTATGCATAAAATATTGCATAACATTTAATTTCATGCTTTTATCCATATATACTCATTCAAAAATTGCATGTATTAGTTTAGAAAGATATAATCAATTCATGAAAAATAAATATCAGCATAATTAATTTGGGATTTTGCACAATTTAACTTATCCAAAAATGCATATGATTAAACCAAAATTAATATAATATGCATAATTAAAATGAGCAAAATTAGACATAGTATAAATTGTCTTTTACCAATCAAATGATAAAAAAGGGTAAGTGGCGTGTTTGGCTCAGTAGCATATCTCTTTACTTGGAGATCATGGGTTTAAGTCCTAGAACTGTCAGATTTATATATATTTTTTTTGTTTTTTATTGACAAGTAAACGACATGTCGTTTTCAAGACTTAAGGAAAATTGACATGTCACTAATCTTGGGCTCTAGTCGTCTTCAACCTTTGATCGAATCTGTAACCGGATACCCGACCCGAAAATGACCTAGTAGCCAAACCCGGGTGGAAATCCACTATTTAAACGCCAAAATGATGTTTCAAAGCACAAAAATGATAGAAATCCAATTTCCTAAAGATTTATAACATTTATTTGCATTAAAAATAACTAAAAAACAAACTTTGATTTTTTTTTTTTAAAAAAAAAATTTCGAACGGCCATGAACAGAGAGCTTCAAAATTTCTTTTGCAAAACATCAAGGCAGAGGTATTACATGGCTCTGATACCAACTGTAAGAAATATCTACAATCTAAATAGAAATACAAAGAATATAATGTTCTTAGACTATAAACCAAGAATCAAGGATTACCTCCAGTCATTGAAACAAACTCACGAAGCTGTATTTTGGTTCTTCTAAGCTCTCAAGACACTATAATATTGATGGTGTATTTTGTTTTAGTTGAGTAACTGAGCTTAGGGACCTGTAACGCCCACATCGAGGTACGTGGTTTAACTTATGCCCTTATATCCTTAGTTGAATTTTGTTAAAGTTATTTTCAGAAAAATGTGAAGAAAATGCCTTAAAATTTCATTATGGGTAAAATGGTCTTTTCACTCATAATTAGTTGAAAATGTGGAGAATGAAAAGAGATAGAATTTCATGGAGAATGCAATAAAATGAGGCCATTATGGTAATTG